AGTTTCTAGTTATTCCATCAGCTTTAAATGATGTGGTTTATGATTGATTATGATGTAGTTTTGTTCTCTGAGCTGGATGGTTTGGTCGTGGAGCTTTCATCGTTCTTCCGAACGACATCATCATCAGCACAAACTTCAGATAGACTTCTATCTGATGTTACGAATCTTCTCCACCATCTCATGATTGATTATGTTTATGAGTACTTTAGTCTTCATTTATTCTTACATTTCTGTTGAATGTATTTTTTGGTTGAATTCTGATCATGTAGTTAGTCGATGTCATCCATGTGGATTGATACCGACGTCTGTTGATGGCCAGTTGATGTGAATACTATACATATGGAAGTTCTTTAATATTCTTAGAATTTCGACATTTTCCTAACCGAATTCATTCATGTTCATGGTTTTCCACGTGTTTTGATATCATTGATAACGTATAATATTGCATCACTGACAATCTATGTTCTGAGTACTCAGCTTTTTGTGTTCATCCAATTATCTTGGTTTTTCTTTTAGTAGTTCCAATGCTTGCTTATAGTCGATATATCTAACTTTAAAAAAAAAGCTAGAAATTTTCATTGTATCAATCGTCGTTGACAAGGCAATATCTAGGCAATCCTCATAGGATGTACATATGCCAATAAGAGACTGATCAATTACATTCCTATACACTAATAAGAAGATTCAAACAAACAATACAAAATGAATTAAATTTGGTCTCATTACACAAACTAGTGGTTATGTGGAGTCAGTAGCTAATTAGATAACTCTATGGCGTTTGAAGCGAACAGTATACTGAGTTCAATTCCCAGAGTGAACATCAACTCTGATATGCATGTACATTCAACTGACAAGTCCCAAATGAGACGAAACGTGCGTCTTGGATTCCACTGCTAACCACCATTCTCAGATATTGAAATGAAAACAACTGAATTAGATGACTAAGCAAATTGTAATAAAATTACCAAAACATATTTGCACTGATCAACAAAACATTTATACTCTACTATCATTAGAGCATTATACCTTACTGATTGAATAACTTTTATTGTTTAGTTCTACAACAGAATCAATTGTCGAATAAGATTCTTTCGATCATTTAATAATAATAAAAGTATCTATCTCATTGATTAGATAATGATCTAAAATTTTGATCACGGAATAAGTTTTGAAAAAAATTTCATACAAACAATTGAGAATTTAATGACCACTGGATACTGAAGTAGGTTGACAAGAAGTGAATTGATTCCTAAATGTAGGTAAATCCATAGTCCATAGAAATACACTAAATGTTGAACTAAATTGTTTCAGACAAAATCCACGTATATGATCAAGAACTGTAGGACAAGCATACAAAATAGTTGGGGGAGAAATTAGAATTTACACTTATTCTTTATCTTCCTGGTTCCTTCCTTTTTCATTCATCAATCTCATTCCTCTATATGTTTAGTCTTTAATGATAGTTAATACCATTACTAGTCACCTGTTATGACTTTGGTTTGTCTACCCACTTTTGGTGCCGAGGATACTTGTTTAATCTAGATTTAGACTTGGACGCGATAAACTAATCGGCCTAACCTTGAGACTAGTACGCGTGAGTTGGAAATGGGGTAGAGAGAAGAAAACTATTCTGTCACTTAATTGGTGGGCAAACACACGAACGAGAGAAGACAATTGGAACACTACTCGATCTATTCCTGACTTCAACAATTAGTTTAAACAGGTACATGAATAAATAGGTGAATAACCCGACCGCAACGTACAATAATTAGGAAAAATACAATTATGTCCAAAGCTGGGAATTAAAGTAGTACATACGGTGCAAAATATTATGTTTAAATTACAATAGCTTCGGAACAGAAAAGGGTATGGCCGTGATTGATACATCGAACGAAAGCTTATGTTCTGTAGAATAGATTAGGGACAAAAATAAATGTTAGTGTTTTACAAACTTTGAATAAAATGAAATAACATCCCGAAACTTAACTTTGGTAGTTTGTCGGGGCTTCTTGTCTCCCTGTGCACATAATCACCCTATTTCAAGTTTCACCTTATTAAGATCCTTTCTTACTGTATTGATAAAGACTGATGACCGATACACATTATCCCCATATCTTACACTGCTTATCATAGGCTATCCACTGATGTGTATTAATTCAACCTAACACGTACTCCGCCTATAGCGCTCCTTGGGCTACTTCCCGTCTCAAGCCTACACATAGGAGAAGGGTTAAGCATGGGGTTGGCAACTTCATCCTATAGAAAACAATCTTTCTAAAGACAATGCTAATCAAAATTAAAAAAATTGAACCATTTAAAATTTATCACGCCTCATGTTGAAAGCCGAGATTCTCCGGAAGTCATGAGATTGATGCACCTTTTAACAACCAGAGCAACAGTTGATATAACTTCATGGAATGTCCGGACCATGTAGTAGACTGGGAGGAACAACCAAATAGCTACGGAAATGAGGAGAAACAACTTGATGGTGCTCGGAATAAGTGAAACCCATTGAAATCAATCTGGACAGAAAAAGATAGATTAAGGAGAAATGATTCTGTACTCGGGTCACGGAGAAGAAAATACCCTGTACACTCATGGAGTTGCTCTGATGCTGTCAAAAGAAGCACATAAAGCACTTATTGGATGGAATCTCATGGACCGAGGATCATCAAAGCACCCTTCAAAACAAAGAATGAGGGAATCACAATCAATATTATCCAATTTTATGCACCCAACAATAAATGTAACGACAACGGTAAAAAACGATTTTATGAGAGGTTTCAGTCGATCAGAGCGAAGTCTTCAGCAAAAGGACCTAACCATCCTTATGGGAAACCTAAACGCCAAAATCGGAATCCACGAAACTGAGAATGAAGACATCATGGGAAGATATGGACTGACTGAGAGAAAGGAACGAGAATGTTGACAGATTCGCAAATCTATGTTCATTCAACAAAATGGTTATAGGTGACATATTATTTCCACATGAACGCATACATAAACCTACATGGGTCCCGCCAGATTACAGCACGGAGAACCAGAGAGATCATATTTACATCAGTAAAATATTCAGAAGGTCAACGGAAGACGTGAGAACCAAGAGAGGAGCTGACATAGCTTTCAATCACCACCTGGTGGTTGCCAAGATGATGTTGAAGCTAAAGAAGCACTAAACAACTATAGAACGGCATTAAGAAGGCTCAATATAGCCTTTCTTCGAGATACTGACAAACTCAACGAATTGAAGATAATTCACTTGATATTGTTTTTTTATTTGAATCTTCCCATTGATGTTTAGGACTGAAATTGTTCAGTCTTTTATTGGCATATGTTCATACTGTGCGTATGCCTCGATATTGCCTTAATTTAATCTTTGCTTATAAGAATTGAAGATAGCTCTCAACAACCATCATCAAAATGGTACACGTATTTCTAAATAATAGTCCACTGAAGAAATTTGATTTCCGTTGGTTGGATACCATCAGCATCAGTATACTGCGGGAGAAAACAAAGCAGCTTCTAGTTGAAGAGGAAATTAGGGAAAGACGATGGAAATGGATAGGGCATATATGTGGGAAATCACTAAACTGCATCACGAGGCAAGCCCTAACTTCAAATCGTTAAGCGAAACGGAAAAGGGGAAAGCTAAAGAACACACTCAGTTGATAATTGGAAGCAGACATCAAAAGGATAAATAGTGACCGGAAACAAGTGGAAAGTATTGCTGGTGAGCGGCCTAACCTCCTCCACGAGAGTTAACATGGCGTAAGTAAATAATCCAATAAGTTTATACACGTATACTGTAAGGCGAGGCCAATTTTTTTTATTAGGTTTCTATTTTAATGAATCTACTTATTTAATAGTCTTTTGGTGTATTCTACAGCCTCTGCCAGGGAAGTCCTATTCACTGCCTTCTCGCACCACGAGTGTTGTTTACGAAAATGAGAGGACGAAAAGCGCTTTAACTGGATCCAAAACCAATAGTGCACATGGGCTCCAGTATCCTGAAAGAACAAATGGCGTATGAACCAAGCTTTGGTCATCGGCTACCATGGGACTGCATCTGATCACGATGCTCCACTGTCTTGTGGGTCAGACCTTCAGGTCAAAGGCTCCGGGTGTGGCCTCCTAAGAAAACGACCTGCTTCGGTCTGGGCACTCGTGCAGTATCACAGCCCACACTCAAATAAAATTATGTGTGGCGCATATGTATTTGGTGCCCTCTTGTATCAATATTTATGTGTTCAAATAAATAAATAATAAATACGTGAATGGACAAATAAAGTTTCATGATTAAGTTGACTAGTTCTAAGCATTAAACTCCAAGAAAACCATTCATTTCAGATATAAAATTTTCTCTATCATATTAAAATTTAAAGTGATTGAGTAGATGACTATGTCTGACAAATTCTCTGCACGGATTTATAAAGCTTGTTTGGCTTTTGCCTACTTACGTCACCTATGGCGAAGGCAGGAAATCTGTCTATGAATTAAGGGACAAGTATATCATCCAATAGTTCGTTCTGTTCTAATTTACGGATGCGAAACCTGGTGATCAAAAGTAGAATATACTCGTAAGTTACTAATATTTAATCACAGATGTCTTAGAAATATTACTCACATCTACTGGGATCACAGGGTAAGTAATAGTGAGGTTAAATGTAGGGTATTAAGGATTGATAGAAAAACAGTTCATGAGGTTATGAATCTTCATCGACTGAGATGGTTAGACCAAGTGTCATATATGCATGAACATCAATAATCATGACGCGCGATGCTGACTAGTGTTGGGGATGGTGGGAAGAAAGTTTTGGGGTGGCTAAATCAAAATGTAGCATCAGTCCACAGTCACTAAATTATAGTCTGAGCCATATTGGTAGATGCAGACTACTTGGTTGGGGGCCACGTGACTATCTTAACCAATGATTGGAGACTCTTGGTGACATGGCTCAGAATCGATCACAATGGCGTCGGTGTATACACTCTCTGTCTTCCTTTAAACTAAGAGATTAAAATCACTTCAAATCTTTCTTTCTACGAACTAATTCTATCTTCCTGTACTATCTCCTTATACACACTCTTTCTTCTATATATTACCACCACTGAATTAACTACTTCTATGAATCCGGTGTTCATGTTGTTGTGCTAATGCGGTATGGCAATTTGGACCGATGCATATATGCGCCTGGTCCTACGTTGTAACTAACTAACTGACTAAGATGTTTATTTATTTATAAATTTCCAAATGGATAACCATTTCATTCATGAATTAAAAAAACAAACAAACAAACAAAACAACAACCCATAAACAAATAAATAAATGAGGAAGAAAAGTATTCTCAATTATGGTTCTGTTTTGTTTCTTCTTCTTTTTTTTTCTTTTTTAAAATGTAAAATAAACTTTCATTAGATAATATATATATATACAATTTCAATGTGGAATTAATTTTTTTCTTTTTCTCTTAGTAACAAACAGTTATTTATTTAAGGAAATCCTAAGAAAACAACAACGACAAAAAAAAACACATCTTCAATGTTTCATTTCACCATGGTATCAGATCATTTTCATCGTTGTTATTCTCGTTCTTGTTCTTCTTCTTGTTGTTGTCCTTGTTGTTGCTATGTTTGTGCGTATGTATGTTTGTGTGTGCGTGTGTATGTGTATGTGTATGCGTGCATACGTACATGTCTAGATGAACTTTGTACACCTAAATTAAATCAAAATTTATTTTCATTAGGAAAAAATATGCATGTCAAATTTGTATCCATTTCATTGATTATTTATTAAAAAACAAAAAAAAATATTATGTAATCATTCATTAATTTATTGATTGGTTAATTAAAATGAAATAGAAAAAAAAAGAGAGAGAAACAGCGAAAAAAAAGAAAAACGGGAGAAAAAAAGCGAAAAAAGAGAAAAGAATTTACAATAAACTTGTATGGGAAAAAAAGAGGAAAAAACAAAAAGAAGAATAAAATAAAAGAGAATAACATAATCGATAAAAAATAAAATAAATATATATATGTATATCTTGATTTCTAATGTTTAGTTAAATTGAAATCCCTAGATTGATTCCATTTATTAGTATGAATAATATGAGATCTTTGATTCAATGATGAAGGAATATATTGTGATGTTGTTGTTGTTGGAAGTGGATAAGGTGTTGATGTTGATATTATAGTTGTTGTTGTTGTTGTGGTGGTGGTCATGGTGGTGGTTGAAGTTGTTGTTATAGCAGTACTCATTAGAGATGATAATTCTGGAATAAATAATCGTGTATTCAATATATCTGATTGTGTATTCCATCGATTATTCATAGATAATCGATTATTAATAGTAGTATTTGTAGTATTATTATTATTATTATTATTATTATTAGTAGTAGTAGTAGTAGTAGTAGTTATAGACATTAAATAAGAAGAATTAGGCACATAGGTATTTGTATCGGTTATCATCATTGATGATCCATTTGTAGTACTAGTAGTAGCAGTAGTAGTAGTAGTAGTGTATAATACATTCCTTGGTAATTGATTAATTAAACTATCCGATACAATCATTGATTGTGTCATATTTCCAATAGAATAAATGAATGGATTACGATTAATGAATTGTGTTTCATTAAAATGATTGAATATTGATTGATTTCTATGATATATGAATGGTGATAATGAATCATTATAATTGATTAATGATTGACTTGTTTGATTGATTAAACATGTCGTTGTTGTTGTTGTTGTTGTTGTTGTACTGATAGTATTCATGAAATGAGTAGAAAAATAAGTAGTTTGTATTGGTTTAGCTAAAATAATTTTGGAGGATGATGATGATGATGACGATGTTGTGGATGTTGTCGTCGAGGATGATGATGATGATGATTGTTGTTGTTGTTGTTGTTCTTGTTCTTGTTGTTCTCCTTCTAAATTCATAAATGATATATCACTTTCTGTTGAATATGATTCTAATTGACTATCATTATCAATTGAATATTGTTTATAATATTGTGATATACATTGCCTTGGTATATTATATTTATTATTCAATTCTTTATTTAATGTTAAATTATTTAATTTTATATTTTGATCATGAATTTTTTGACATGATGATTGTGGATTTATTAAAGAGATACTTTTTGTTCTTGTTCTTGTTCTTGTTGTTCTTATTCCTTTTATGCTTCTTTTTGTTTTTGTTTTCGTTGCTGTTGGTGGTGGTGGTGGTGTTATTGTTGTTGCTATGATGGTTTGATTTAATTTAGAATCAATTGAATTAGCTAATGGATGTATTTTATTAGATATAGTTAAACTGGAAGTACGATTTGATTTAAATGAGGTAGATATATCAGATAATGTTAAGGGGGATGATGTAAATACTGTTTTAATGAATTTACCTATATTATTATTATTATTATTATATTTACTATGTTTCTGATGATGTACTTGTTGTTGTCGTTCTTCTTCTTCTTCTTGTTGATGATGAGGATGAGGACGAAATTGATGGTGGTGATGGTGATGGTGGTCATGATGTTCCCAACATTGTTGTTGTTCTTCTTCTTTTTCTTGATGAGGATGGTGGGGGTGGTGCTGATGATGATGATCTTCCCAAGATTGTTGTAATTCATTATTATTATTATTATTATCGTATTGTTTATATTCTATATTAGAAACAATTTGACCTATTCGATTATCAATATCATTTATACGTTTTATTAAATGATTCATTTCTAATTTAAATTCATTTTGTATATTCATTAAATAATCTAATATTGATTTATTGATTATTTGTAAATGTTCAAAATGATCATTTATTAATTTTGATTGATTATTAATCATCAATTGAATATGATGATGATTATCATTATTGTTATTATTATTATTGATTTTATTTTGATTGGAAACAATTAATTTAGATTGTTGTTGTTGTGATGATGATGATGATGGTGGTGGTGGTGGCTGTTGTTGTCGTTGTTGTTCTTCAGGTATGATTGATGTTTTTAATAAATTACCCCATTTCGATTGTAGAAATGATCGTGAATATTGATTATCATTGATATTATTAGTATTATTATTATTAGCATTTGTTGTCATAGTAATTGTGTTACTAGGGGACTCTTTATTAGATGGAGTTATTTGTTGAATTGAATCTGAAGTAGATGTTTTATTATAATTATTGTTGTTTTTTAATTCTATACGTTTACCCCATCGTGATGCAATTTCATCTAATACACTAACAGGATTACTATTATTATTATTATTATTATTATTATTATTATTATTGTTAATAGTACTATTCATAGTAGATGTACTTGGACTATCTAATTTTCCTTGAATTCGAAGACGATCTTCATGATCTTCATTCAATTCAAAATCTTTATTATAATCATCATAATCATTTAATGTAATAGATTTACGTGTAATACGTATTATATCATTATCTTGTAAACCTAAACCACCACTATTACTACCTATTGGTGAATCATTAGTTGATTGATTATGTGTACCTATACGACGAAATTTATGAATCATTCGACGAACTGGATGATCAGCACGTAAACTAGATAATGCATTATCAGTTTTACGATGTTCAGCTAATTCATATTCTCGTCGAACATCTGCTAATTTACGAAATATAAGCTAAAAAAAACAAAAAAAAACAAATAAAAATAGAGAGACAGAGAAAGAGAAAGAGAGAGTATGAAACCAACTTATCATTCAGTAATTTGATCAACTGAATGAAATAATAAATACCAAGGAACTAGAAAATGACCTGGATAGTTTAGTGGTAATGTTCATGAATGTGATGCTAAATGACACAAGGTCGAATCCGTCAGAGAGCATCGGTTTCCTTAAGAATAATACAAGCAAACCTTGCTGACAATTGCCAAGTAGCATGAAACATAGGTCTAGGGTTTTCTAAGGAACTAGAAAAACACGATGATAGTTAATGAATGATAAAGAATATAATATATATATATATCATGTATTTAAGTCATTACCCAACTAGTTTAATGGTAATGTCTCAAATTGTGGAACTGGTTGATTCAGGTTCGAATGCTATGAAAAGGTTGAAGATAGTTCTTGCTGATAAGTGACTTACTTACTTACGTCTATTACTCCCAATGGAGCATAGGCCAACGACCAGCATTCTCCAACCCACTCTGTCCTACTCTGCCTTCCTTTCCAGTTCTATCTAACTATTGTTCATTTTTCTCATGTCTATCACGATTTCTCGGTGTAATGTATTCTTTGGTCTTCCACTTTTCCTTTGGTCTTGAGAATCCCAAGTAATGGGGGCTTGCCTTGTGACACAGTTGGATGACTGATAAGTGGCAGCTAACACGAAATCTAAGTTATTCAGGATTCTTTGCTAAATAACTTGATGTTGAACAACTTAACTTAGTGATCATATTACAAACATAACTGATCGAATTCTATTTCTATCAAGAACTAAACAATTGTATATGGATTACAAATGAATGACTAGTTTGAGCTTATATCTTCAGTGCTAGATATAATGAGGAGCAGGTTATTCCTTTTCAAAATTGACCAAACACTATAATAGCTAATGGATAACTAGTGTAAACCTTAGGTTTACCGACAAATGTTTCATACTATTATACAGGATAATAGTCTGTAACAAAATCTTGAAATAGAAATGTCAGGTTATTTAAGATTATCTAAAGGGTTCAGTATATGCTTTAATATGATCGACAGTAGGAAGAATCAGATCTCTCACTCCAAATGCTCTCACATGGCCACAAGTATAAAGCCATTGATAGGGAAGTCCTACTCACCACCTTCTCGTGGCATTAATGTTGTTAACGAAATTGAAAGGACAAAAGTGAATGTCTGGCGTTTTAACCGGATTGGTGGACACAGAGTGTTCACCTAGGGGAGTTGGAATACCCTGGTTTCGAACCAGTGGTTTACATGGGCTCCAGTATCCTAAAGGAACAAATGGCGTATGAACCGACAATCTAACATATGACTATATCTCCAGTTTCATTACCTTATGGATCAGACCTTTACATTGAAGGCTCGACATGTTGCCCCCACCCCACCCCTCGTAAGAAAGACACCTATTCCGGTTTAAGCATCCAGGTACTATCTATTTAATGCTTCCCAATACCCATGTTTATAAATAAACAAAGAAAATAACATAATACAATGATCATTATTCATTACTTACACGTGTTTTTAAATCATAGGTTAATACTAAATTTCGAGCAAAACTATTTGCAAATGCAGAATAGAATTTTAATACTTGTAATAGACAATCTTTTTTAATACAATGTAAATCACAATAAGTTAAAGCACGAACTGTTGCCGCTGAATGACTCATACTATTTGGATCTTTCCAAAATGGTTCACCGAATACATCACCACGACCTTATTATTCAAATATGGTTCATTGAATAAAGAATAATAATGAAAAGATAATCATGATTAATATAACTATAGTAATCATATGATGAATACATAATAATAGTAACTATACTGAAACAATGAATTATTTATAAAATAACTCTGCCTGGAGTTCCCCTTTTGTGGTTACTGTCGGTCTAGAAGTCGGATATAGGAGGAGGGTTGAGAATGGAATTAACGACCCGATTTCGTAGAAAACTAACTCGCTACAAAAATCGTTAACCAGAAAAAATTATTCAAACCATTTAAACTATGCTCTGGGAGTTAGAAGGTCTTCATTTAGAAGAGTTATGATATCTCATGGTGAGGTCACGAGGTTGATGCCCCTTCTGACAACCGGAACAATTATTAATATAGATACATGGAATGTTCGTACAATGTGGGAGAGTCTTGCAGATTGCTGCAGAAATGAATAGATACAACCTAGAGGTGCTTGAAATCACTGAAACGTAAGTTGGAAAACAAAGACTAGCTTCATTGGATTCGGTGTTTATGATTTAGTCAACTCCATCTGGAGCCTCCATGGGGCTACTGTCGGTCTCAAACTCGGATAAAGTAGGAGAATTAGGTATGAGATTAGCGACCCGATTCCGTAGAAAACTAACTCGTTAAAACAGAATACCCTAACCAGAAAAAGTACGTTGATATGTCTTGTTAATTTAAGGTCGTCGTCTTGTTTCGGGGTTAATAAGTCTTCACTGATACCAATTTTTGTGTTCTTACTTTCACGTCATAGGAATTGCTTAGGTCTTTCGTTTCAAGTATAAGTGATAAGCGTTTCTGACACAACAGTCAGCGATGACCAGTTATGACATATGTATTATTTATGGAATAGTTTAAATTAATTCAAATAGAAATGCGAGAATTTCCAGAACTTTACACTTGTATGATTCTTAATATAAGATCTTGATGAAGATTGTTCAAATCTAAGGAATTGACTTTAACTATTGAATACTTAAAAAACCAAGGAGTGCTTGATAGCAAGTATCTCTTTGTATACCATTCTTCATCAATAATCATCTAAGACACTCTAACTCTAATGGATTCTAGAATCTTTAGATCACTTGATGTTTTGTATTGATTTGTTCTGTATGGTGGTTTCCGACTTATTTCTTTGATAAACATTACATCCTTATTATTAGAGATTATTCACCAATGATTGAAGTTAAAGACCATCTGAAACATAGTTCATGAGAAATTATCATTGTTGAATATCAGCTATGTCGAGAACGAGATAGATAACATCAATGGTAGATGAGTAAACTTTCTCATACTGAACAATATCTAGAAGATGATAATCTAGTAATTTAATAGTGAAAATTTGAATGAGACTATATTTTATGGACGACCATTGAGCAACGCTAAACTGAATTTAAGAGTTTTTGATGGAGTTTTGTTCTCTGAGCTGAATGGTTTGATTGTGGAGCTTTCATCATTCTTATGAACGACAACATCAGCACAAACTCCAGATAGAAGTGAAGTGTTCGAATTTCTCCATATGCGTTTCACAGCTTGTTCTGTACACCTTGATGTTGATTGATTCTTGTTAACCTCAAACCTGTCATTGTTTACTTCTTTGTTTTGGTTTTATCTCTCATTGGTTTGTTCCTATATTTGTGCATAATTTTCCTGATTAGTTGATAAATTGCATCGATTTCAATGTGTTTGTTGATTGTTGATTGACCTGAGTGCCAGGCTTCTAAAAATTCTCTTGTGTTTTTAGAATTCCCTTCTATCTGAATTTTGTGCTGAGGATGTCGTTCAGAAGAACGATGAAAGCTCCAAAACCGAACCATCCAGCCCAGAGAACAAAACTCCATCAAAATCATTCACCAGAGCTACAAATCCTCTCCATCATGACTTTGAGAGTGCCTACCTAATTACTATGGCTAAATGAGGGTTATAAGGCAGTTTGAAAAATAAGGAATGAAATTCACACTTAATAGTTAGGATCAGGGACTAGATTTAAGGTTTTTTCATTACGAACTAAGATCAGCTAAAATGCCAAGACTTTATTTGGACAGATGGATGAATGAAGTTCGCGCCAAAATCCAAGATCTGTTATCTTGTATCTGATTGGTTCGTTCATAAATTATAGTTTCGCCAAAAATTGAAGGCCTCAATTTGGATTCATAAGATCATAAGTACATATTACCGGAAGTATAGTTGAAGGGAAATTGAAATGATAATAAGGTTAGATTATCAATCGTTTACTCTATTTACAAGTATAATATTAGATCTTGAAATGAATTGTCCAGTTTTTTCTTTATAAAGATTTAACTACTCACAAGTAGCTCAACTTTACTTACTAAAATATTTTGACGCTAAAAATTCATCAAACAACTTAAGTCTATCACATATGTAAGGACCGTAATAAGAAGATCAAATCTGTCTGACTAATGTGGAATTTATGCTGGTTTACATGTATAACCTGTTTGGTTTATTTACTTTGATAAATATATACGTAACAACGTCAACAGATTTCAACACCGTTTTTGACAGTGGAAAGGAATCAAGGATTATCTGAGTAAGTTAAAGGTGGAACGAGTTATATTTGAATAGAAGAAAATGTAGGCCTCGATTCCTAATTCACTCGGTTTTGTTTGGTTTGTATCTTCCCAGTAGCTGAGTGGATAACGTGATGGCTTTTGAAGAGAATGATACTGAGTTCTAGTTCCAGAGTGAACATCAACTCTCAGATGCAGGTATACCCAGCTGACGAGTCCCAAATGGGTCGAAACTCGCGTCCTGGATTTCACTGTGTGTATTTTATATCACTATTGATATATTTGTATTGCTTCAATTTATTCTGTTTAGTACCATGATATCATCAATGACCATTTAGAGGGAATAAGTGACGATGTCTAGATGCTAATTGGTTTCTACATAGATTTATAAATTTTGGTCATCACCTATTTAATAATAATATTTCAGTCATGAGTTTAACTTTTGAATTTGATCTACAGTGTGAATACTCTAAATGGCATCAAACAAAAGCCTTAATACAGCACATTTGTATTATGGTAGATGGAAATGTGAAAGAACTGCAAATGTTCTGTTCAGTTGCTTTTTCTTCAAACCTATCAGTTTAAGTGAACCAAGATTCCTTTTCTCATAGGTTAACATGATATTCTGTATACTATTCTGTTTTAAACACAAATTGAATGATAGAAAACTATACTATCGGTAGTACATTATGAAACGTCTCTGATTGCATTTCAAGCTTACGAGTTTTTGTAGATGTTATAATAATTTCAATAGTTGAAATCATGACTCAATTGAAGCTAGACCATTATGAAAAACCTGGAAACAATGTACAGATGTTTCGTCCTAGTATGGGACTCCTTAGCAGTACACATTCACTATCCCGCCTCGTATGATTCAAACCCAGGACCTATCAGTCGCATGGATGCATCGTGGATGCGCACTGATGAGGATGGTGGATGTGTCGCTCATTTTCGTGGATTAATTGAATTTAGACATCAACACCAATAGATACCGATTCAATGGTCCAGAGTTTAAGTGCTCGTGGTATGAGAACGATAGGTCCTGGGTTCGACTATCACAAGGCAGGATCGTAGGTGCTCACTGCTAAGGTGGAGTCCCACAATAGAACAAAACGGCCGTCCAGTCTTTCAAAGTTTTCCAACGATGGTCTAGCTTCAATTGACTCATGATATCAACTATTGAAATCTATTATTATTATTATTATTATTATTATTATTATTATTATTATTATTCATTACATTATCTTATAAATCCTAATTTAAACAACTTACCTAAAAATGCAACTATTTCATCATCTTGAATAACTTCTAATGAACCAGAAACAACAAAACATAATTGATCAATACTTTCACCTTGATGAAATATTAAATCACCTGGTGCTGTATGTATGGTATTAAAATTAACAGCTAATGCTCTTAAACAACCATCACTAGCTAAACGAAATGCTGGATGTTCATTAAATACCATACGATTTAAATGTATACATAAATCAGCTTTCATATCTTTTGGACAATAATTTAATACCTAATAGAAGAAAATTAAAAAAAAAAAATAATATACATTCCTTTAATGTAATAAATAATCAATAGTTTGATGGATTTATTTATTTATTTACTTACTTACTTACTTACTTACTTACTTACGCCTGTTACTCCTAATGGAGCATAGACCGCTGACAAGTATTCTCCAAGACACTTTGTTTTGAACCTTCCTTTAGAGTTCTGTCCAACTGTTTTTCATTCTTATGTTTGTCTCCATATCTCGGTGTAATGTGTTCTTTGGTCTTCCTCTCCTCCTTCGACCTTGAGGATTCCATGTGAGGGCTTGTCTTGTGACGCAGTTCGGTGCTTTCCTCAATGTGTGTCCTATTCACTATCAGCGTTTCTTTCTGATTTCTTCCTCCATTGGGATCTGATTTGTTCTCTCCCACAGTAGGTTGTTGCTAATAGTGTCTGGCCAACGGATCCGAAGTGTTTTGCTTAGTCAACTGTTAATAAACAACTGTATCTTCTGGATGATGGATTTCGTGGTTTTCTAGGTTTCTGCCCCATACAGTAGAACTGTCTGTAATGCTGTCATTATGTTAAGCCCAAATACCTTATTATTCTAACTTTCGGACAGCCCATTCTATTCATTCTATTTGAGTCACATTCTGACCTTGTTAATTATTTGCTTATCAATGTCTTGACTGTCTTTGTATGAGCGCGTAGGCGTATGCACACTTCTTATCCCGTTACTCATCACATGTCTGTAATTTATTTTTGTGGGCTTATAAATATTGATTAACTCTTTGTTAAAGGAGAGTTGGCTTACCAGCCATCTCCACCGCTCGTCAATTTTGCTTCGCTTTCTTCTCTTCGCGTCGTTCCTCCGTTCGTTTGTCTAATCAACAATTATACGAAATATATGCATTCAAAACTCCATTCTCGTTATTTGACTTATTTAATTCCGTTATTAACTAACGCGATTCAAGTCAATGATTATATACGAGGATAGACGATAGCAACCAATCATTACGATCAAATAGGAGTCAGATCACGGGCCACTAAATGTCTTGACATTTGCATTGAAAATCTTGACCTTGGTGTTGGTTGCCAATTGTTTTGAGTTCCAGATATTCTTCAGTTATATATATGCTGCTCTTGCTTTGCCAATCCGCGTCTTCACATCTGCATCAGATCCACCACCGTGTTCATCAATCATGCTGCCTAAATATGTAGAGGTATTTACATCTTCCAAATCTTCTCCATTAATTGTGATTGGATTGTTACATGCTGTGTTGTATCGAAGAATCTTGCATTTCCATTTGTGTACATTGAAACCTACTGCTGCTGAGGCTGCTGCTACACTAAGTTTAATGTATAATGTATTACAATTTAGACAAAAAGATGATAGGTTCAAGTGACTAAGTGAATATTAACATTGAAACTTAGCCAATATTTAGTTGACATAACATGCTTCCTCTCTTTTAGTACAGTACATCTACATGTGGTTGCTGAGAAACTATAATACACGAAGATGAGAAATCTTGACTAGGTTCTATGTAGTTATCTTCAATGAAGAAGTTTAACTAACCTGTACATATAATGTTCATTGCTAGTAGATTATTCTGAATTTGTTTATTCAATACTAGCTTAACTAATCAGTCTTCAGTAATTAGGATAGTAGGTTGGTGAACCTGTGTTAATCCTAACAGATTGCCTTCTAGTGAAGGTCCAGTTTCTCCTTGAAAATATTCACTGATGCGGCTGATACTACCAGTTCGGGTAAGGCGTCCCAACCATTGACTACTCGATGAGAAAAACGGGAACCCACTCTAAGTTTATTTGATCGCGTTTATGAACCTTCTTGCTATGACCTCGGAGATTATTAGTGCGTCTTAAACGCTCATCATAAGGAAGTTTAGAAAGACCTTTCACTAATTTTGTTCCCACATGCTGGACACGCTCAAGTGAGTTAGTATCCTTTACCAGACGTAAGCTAGCTGCTTGGATACAGAACTCTAAATGTGGTCTTACATAGGTGACATATAAAATTCGAATTATCTCTTCAAAGTATTTGAATGCTCGGCGAAGTGACCATAACGCACGGAAAATTTTGACAGCAGCTGCGTTGCAATGTGTAGTTGTTTTCAAGTCATAACATTATTACTCCTAAGTCTTTATGTTCTTGAACGCGTGGAAGAAATTTACCATCAATAGTATAGTGGTAACTATTACTGTGTCCAATGTGCATGAGTACACTCTTCTTAAAATTAACTTCTAATCCCCAACCTCCTACTTCATCTAATTAATTCGTCTAAGTCGGTTTGGAAATCAAAATGATCAGCCTCACTTCTTATTGTTCTCCAGATATTGACGTCATTCTCAAACAATCATATCGACAACCTAAGCAATATCGGTAATTCATTAACGTAAAGAAGGAAAAGTAGAGAGCTTAAGATGGTTCCTTGGGCTAAACAACATTTGATCGGCTTCCATTCGGATAGCGTTCCACTGACCCTCACTCATTGTCTGTGATCACATAACATAACAATTCTTATGATGAATGTACCGTGTAGAATTAACAAATTGACCATAGTCAAAGTCTACTTTCCCACATATATTACAAGAACTTATTTGCAGCTTAGTTCAATAATGTTTACAGAAAAGTAGTTAGTCTTGTTCTTGATTTTAATTATACAGTTGGCAAATGCTGATTAACTAACCAATAGTGAGATGGTGGAGACGATTTATAGCTCAGAAGGATGACTGTAATGGAGCTTTGTTCTATAAGTTGGATGGTTTGGTCATGGAGCTTTCATCGTTCCTTTGAACAGCATCATCATCAGCATAAACTTCAGGTAGAAGTGAAGTGTTAGCATTTCTTGACATATGGTTCACAGGTTGTCATGACAGGTTTAAGGTCGACAAGAACCAATCAAAATTGCGGTCTACAGGACAAGCTGTGAGCCATATGTGAATAAATTCGGACACTTCGGATGGAGACAGGTATCTACTTCAATACAGTGAAAGAAAGTCACGCGATTTCCTGAATCGGTTGAGGATATACATTTAAACCTTTGGATGTCAGCTCAGTGGTCTAGTAGTTTAAGCGTTCGCGTGAGAGACTCAAAGCCCTGAGTTCGAAACCTGAGGGCGATTCGTCGATGTGCACTGTTGAGTAGTCCCAAAATAAGGCAAAATGCCCGTCTACTGCTTCCAAGCTTTCAATGGTGATCTAACATCAATCGGTTCATGGTCTCAATCAAAAACTTCTCTTCTACTTGAAGTTTGTACTGGTGATATCGTTCAGAAGAACAATGAAATCTCCACAACCAAACCATCTAACTCAAAGAACTAAACTCCATCACAACTAACTAATTGTTCAACTTCACTTGATATTGTTTTACTTGTATCTTCCCATTGTTATTTAGGACTGCAATTGATCAGTCTGTTATTGGCATATATGCATCCTATGCGAATTGCCTCGATATAGCCTTAAGTCACAAGCTTTTTAAGCAAAGATGGATAGTGGTTAGCAATGAAATCCAGGACGCATGTTTAGCCCTATTTGGGACTCGTCAGGTGGCAGGTGGCTATCAGGACTCAGTAGCTAAATTGATAACGGTACTAGGTTCGAGTCTAAGAGTGAGTATCAACTCTGGGATGTAGGTGCATCCAGCTGACGAGTCCCAAACAGGACGAAACGCACATCTTGGATTCCACTACTAGCCACTATCCACCTTTACTTAACTAATAGTTCCTACTTCATATATATTTTTAATCTAACTATTGAATTACAAGACAAAATATAAATATATATATTCTTACTTTAGCTGTATCAATTCCTTTAGTAATAGCCCATGTTGATGTAACATAATCAATAACACGTTCAGCTAAATCTTTTGGTACACTATGTGTTTTAATAAAATCTTTCACAGATGCCATCATATCATGATATCTTGAACGAGTTGCATACATTCCTTGAAATATTGTTGTCACATTACCAAATATAGTAGCATAACCAAATGCTTATTTATTAACAAACAAACAACGAAAAGAAAGAAAAGTGAAAGTGAATGAAGTAAATGATAATTTAGGGTTCCTTTGAAAGCAGCGCTAGTCAGGCAGAAGGACCGATAAGGATTTTAGACAGCTCGTACGGGTTTTATTCGTCGTTAGCTCAGTCAAAAAAATCACTATTTCACTACTTTCAATAATTGAAATCATAAGTCAATTGAAGCTAGACCACTATGGGAAATATGGAAGCACTGGACAGCCGTTTCGTGTTATTATGGGACTCCCCATCAGTGCGCAACCACCATCCCGCCCCTCTTGGCCAGTGGAGTTCAACCAGGTCTGTTGTGAGATATCAACTCATTGAAGACAATGGTGACAGTGGCGCAATTTTGTGGATTGGTTGAAGTTAGATATGAACACCGTTGGATGCAGGCTCAGTGATCTAATGGTTAAGCGCTCACGCGCGAGACTGATAGGTCCTTGGCTCGAATCCCGCACGAGGCGTGATCGTGGATACTCACTGCTGAGGAGTCCCATATTAGGATGAAAAGGTCGTCCAGTGCTTACAAATTCTCTATGGTGGTCTAGCTTCAATCGACTCATGATTTCAACTATTGGAATTAATGAAATAATGAGTTGTTGACTGAGCTAACGACGAATAAAACCCGTACGAGCTGTCTAAAGTCCTTATCGGTCTTTCTGCCTGCCTAGCCCTGTTTGTTAGAGGCCAGAACACCAATCACAGCCTTCGCGATATAAATCATGTATTTCAAAGATATACCAACCAAACAGACCACATCGTACCACAAAATAGAAAACAACATTTGTACAAGGTCTAGCCAGAAGTGGCTGTCAATGTGGGAGGTAGTGATTAATAGAGTAGGCAAAACTCAAGAACGGTATATCGTATAATCATAGTTTATAGATCAAATGGAAGGTCATAATAAGAGGAACATGACAATGCGAATAGTTTAGTTACATAACAATGATCCAATAAGAATATGTGTGTCATATTAGTCCATAAATCGATCCCAACAGTTACCACTATTCATTATTCTTGTCGATAGATATCATTAACCCAATAAGTGACTTATATTAAACTATAAAGCTTTGGAAGTGTAAGTCTGCACTCGTCAGGATATCACGGGATAGATGACTATGATTTTTTGATATTACTGAAATATACGTTCGAATCTATGAACCTTCGATGATATTTGATACAAATGAAAAGGTGAAAAAACAAAGAACTTCTAGTCGGACTATGAATATGTCTAACTGTGATATCCCATACCGAGACGAAACATCGGTCCATTGTATTCTGATGCTTGTTCATTGTTTAACTGAAGTCTATCGTTAATATAAACCATTTTCATTCAGTGAATGTTTGTCATAATATCATCATATTATTAATAAGCTTAAATAGATACCAATTCTGTGGTCTAGAAGTTAAGCGTTTATGCGAATGAGACCGCACGAAAGATTGTAGATGTACACTGATGAGGAGTTCCATTGTGGGCCGAGACGGCCATCTAGTGTATTAAGGTATTTTATAGTGATCTACCTTTAATTGACTCATGAATTCAACCATTAAAATTGCAACAATTTCCACAAACCATTAATCTGATAATAATCCTCATGTGCTCACTAGTGACTGGTTTCAAGTAGGTATTTTTCTGGATTTCTAGTGAGAAACCGTGACCATTGAAGTTCAACCTTGTCTGTCGTGTGATAGTAACTCATTGAAGACAATTGTAGATGGTGGCATAATTTTGTGGATTGGTTAAAGTTAGACATTAATATCGTTGGTCTCGAGGTTACGTGTTCACATGCGAGTCCGAATGTTCTTATTTCCAGTCCCATATATGGGATCGTGGATACGCACTACTAAGAAGTCCCATACTAGGACGAAATGGCCGTCCGTCTAGTACTTCCAGATTTTCAATAGTGGTCTAGCTTACATCAACTCCTCAATTCAACTATTAAATAGACTATAGATTTTGGATTATTTTATAAATTTAAAACTTACCTCCAATAAGCATAAAAACCGCTGCAACTAATTTTTCACCAAATGTTGTCGCTGATACATTACCAAAACCAATACTTGTAATTAATGATAATGTAAAGTATAATGATGTTACATAAGTCATTGTACGTGGAAGTGGTGGATTCTAAATAATCACAATAATAATAATAAGAAGAAGTTACTTTATAAAGATAGACAGTTTATCCATGTTGATTAATGAAGTAAACGGTATACACCCATTAAGATATTAAATAAGATTAGTTCACTGAAAGGGTTCTCTTTGATGAAGTTTTGTTCTCAGAGCGGGATGGTTAAGTCGTGTTCAGACAACAGAATCCCGCGAGCAGGTCGTGGATTCGCAATGCTGAGGAGTCCCACGACAGGACGAAACAGGCCGTCTAGTGCTTCCAGGTTTTCAACGGTGGTCATGATTTCAATCAAGAACAGAACAAATCAGAGGATAAAACTTTATCAAAATCATCCACATGAGCTAGAAATCTTCTCTTTACGGCGAATTCATTTTCAAAGTTTTACATTCAAGGAACTTAGTCAGTTTCTGAGTTATTCTATCAAACGTGTAGAAGTCATTGCGAAGGTTATCTTTCTTAAGGAATGAGTTAACATACACAAATATCCTAAATACTACTGGAAAATTCTTCAAAGAAACCATATTTATCGATTCAATTCGTTCACTGATCCTGTTATTGGAATTTGATATTTCGTAAAGATCATTTTTAAAGTTCGGCTTTCGAGCTAGATAGTCAATATCATACAGAATTCCTATGATGGATTAAACTGCAAAATCGTGCATGGAGGACAGTTGACAAACTCATTCAAAGTAAAGACCGGTGTCAGGCAAGGTTGCTTACTCTCACCCTTTTCTCTTTCTCCTGGTGATCGACTGGATCATGATGACGTCAACATCTGAAGGGAAGCATGAGATACAGTGGACATCTAATATGCAGCTGAACGATCTAGACTTCGCAGATGATCTGACTCTCGTATCACACACGCAACAACAAAGGCAGGAGAAGACGATCAGCAACAGCAGGTCTCAATATACACAAATGGAAAAGAAAGATTCTCTGATACAGCACAGCATGCAACAATCTAATCACAATTAATGGAGAAGATTTGGAAGACGTAAATACCTCTACATATTTGGGCAGCATCACTGGTGAACACGTTGGATCTGATGCAGATGTGAAGACGCGGATTGGCAAAGCAAGAGCAGCATATATACAACTGAAGAATATCTGGAACTCAAAACAATTGGCAACCAACACCAAGGTCAAGATTTTCAATGCAAATGTCAAGACAGTTCTACTGTATGGGGCAGAAACTTGAATAAGTACGAAAGCAATCATCCAGAAGATACAGGTGTTTATTAACAGTTGTCTACGTAAAATACCATCATCTATTAGATGTAAAATGTAAACAACTGAATGTCAATACAGTAATCTTATACTTAAATGCTTATCAGTATAGGGTTGTGAAGATTATTAAGTTATTAATTGACATTATAAACCGATTGATGTTAGATCACTATTAACAACCTAAAAGCACTGAACCACCGTTTCGTCCTATTATGTGACTCATCAGCAGTGCGCATCCATAATCCCGCCTACAGGATTCATACCTATAGCATTCAGTCTCGTGCACGAACGCTTAACCTCTAGACTACTAAGTCGGAATCTAACAGTTTTAATGTATAACCTCAATTAATCCATGAAATTGCGTTATCATCTTCCATTGTATTAAGGTAGATACCTATATCTATGCGACATGGATTAGTTCCAATGATTATGGCTTCTCACTAGAACTTCGAGATTTCCAGGTTTTTCAATACTGGTCTAACAACAATCAATTTGATGATCTCAATCAATAACTTAAATGTTTATCTTATAATTTGTCTCAATATTTTCTGGATTCAATCCTACACATATATAATCGTACATATATCCACTTCTTGTTGTTGTTGTTGTTGTTGTTGTTGTTGTTGTTGTTGTCTGTTTGTTTGTTTTCGTTTGGTTTGTTTTGTCATCCTTTAATCAAACCAATTACTTGATGTAAACTAGAAAATTATTCAAACAAAGAAGAACAAGAAGAAGAAAAGGAGGAGAACAGGGAGAAGAACAAGGAGAATACGAAGAAGAAGAAGAACAAGAACAAGAACAAGAACACGAACAAGGAGAAGATGAAGAAGAAGAAGGAGAACACATTTGTCTTATTTAGACATGATTAATTGATGAATAAGAGACCTTCATTTCTATTGTATATCTTGGTATAAATTGTAGTTGACATATTTTATTAATATTTATTAGAATTAAGGTCATCAAGCCAATTGTAACCCAATTACAAGCTAATATATATAATTCAATTTAGATCACTCCCATTTATTCATATAAGGCATGCTATAACATTGATAAGATTAGTCACGAGATATCCCGAAAAAGGATTTTATTTAAGGTTAAAACAATAATTAATAATTTATGAATAAACAACAAACTATGCCAATAGAGGGAGGGGGGCGGTACATTATTCGATCAAATACGGTTATGTCGTTAGGGGAAAAAAAGATGATATATATATATATATATATATATATATATATATATATATATATATATATATATATATATATATATAAGTGAATTGTCACTGTTATTTTGGTAACAGTCAAAGAAAACTTGACTTAACGTCAGTCGGTAAGAACGTGGAACATCGTACGTACGTACATTAGTTCGAGTTGTCATATTACATTAACACAGAGATGCAGTTATCGATAGTGACTATGATCACAAGTGATTGATCACTGGGTGGTGATAAATGTCAGTCCTACAGGAGGTCGGTCGCAGCCCGGATAACTCAGTGGTAACGTCTCTGACTGTGAAGTTGGGTGACACGGGATCGAATACGTCAGGAAGCATCAGTTCCCTTAAGGTTACAGGTACACCTTGCTGACGAGTGCCAAGTAGCACGAAACCCGGGTTCAGGGTTTCTTATCAACTACCTCTAACCACCATCTAATAGTGACTTTAATTAAATAATTCACCAAATGTTTTGGGGTAAGGTCGAGGGTGGAGTGCATATGTTCTCATTCTTGAAATGCTCTCATATAGCCACGCGAATACAACCACTGTCAGGGAAATCTTGATCAGTAACTTATCGTGGAATTACTGTTGTTTATGAAATGGAAAGGACAAAAAGTGAATGTTCGATGCTTTAACCGGTTTGATGGATATAAAAAATCCACCTAGGGGAGTTGGGAAACCCTAATCCCAAACCAATGCTCAACATGGCCTCCAGTATCCTAAAGGAACAAATGGAGTACAAACCAATTATTGGTGACCGGCTACCATGTGACTACATTTCTTGACGTTGCTCCATTGTCTTATGCATCAGACCTTTAGGTCGAAGTCTCGGGGTGGTACCCACCCACTCGAAAATTCATAAGGCTGTTGAAAGATGTTCATTTACTGTTTTCGTTCACAGTGATTTTTTCAGGAAGTTTCTTTATACTATTGTTGTCGGGTTTTGGTGTGGAAATATATTTACATTCTAATTAGTCTAATCACATGTTCTTGATCTGAATTGTATTGAAGTCTTATAGAATAGACACTGGGTGGGGGCGAGAATCTAGTGTAGATATTCATCTATGGTAAATTAACGTCCCATTAGCGCAGACGAAGAAAACCAACCGTTATCACAGAAATAAAATTACTGACCAATATTCTCAGGTCTTTTTATCCAATAGTTCTTTAGAGAATATAAGACCGTGTTATACTTTGTTATTTCTCCAACATTTAAACTATTCATGAATTGAGAAGGGGTTTTTGTGGATATCATAGTAATTTCAATGGTTGCGATCATGCGACAATTAAAGTTAGACCACCATGGAAAACCTGGAAACACAAGACGACTGTTTCGTCCTACTGTGGGACTCTCCCCTCAACAGTGCGCATCCACGATCCATCCACGAGACTGATAGGTCCTAGATACGAATCTCGCGAGGCGAGATCATAGATGCGCATTACTAAGGAAGAGTCCTACAGTATGATGAAATAGTCGTCCAGTGTTTCCAAGTTCTCCATGATGATCTAACTTCAATTGATTCATATTTTCATCTATTAATATTCATAAATTGATAACAATAAAGTAAGTAAGTAAGTAAGTAAGTAAGTAAGTAAGTAAGTAAGTAGGAAACAATTCATGATTAATAATCAATAAATCACTTACACCACTAGTCCAATTCGTTGGAGTAGTTTTACCTTGATCAATATCATTTAATAATCTTGGTATCCAACCATAATAAATACCATTTTTTAAATCAGTTTGACCAACACTATACCATACACATGCTAACCAATGAGCCAATAAAACAAAACCAGATATCATTAATAATAAACTAGCTGCCATATATTCCAAATATTGATCTAATTTACGTGTAACACGACCAATACGTAATAAACGTACAACTTTTAATGCACCAAATAAAGAACTAATTGTACTCTGTATATTTTAACGAATAAAGAAATAAAGGAAAAATCGTTTTTGTGAATGGAAAACATGATGAAAGTAGATAATGGTTATATAAATATATATGGAAATCGTAACTCCACCTGGAGCCCCTCGGAGGCTAACGTCTGTCCCAAATCCAGGTAAATGAAGAGAGTTGGGCATGGAGTTAGCGAAACCATCCCGTAGAAAAATAACTCTCTAAAAAACTCTAACTATGCCCTGAGAATTAAAAGATGATGCCTCGTGATGAAAGCTGAGTTCCTTCAGAAGTCACGATACTAATGCTTCTTCTGATAAACAGATCAACCATTAATGTAGGTACATATGGAAATGATAGTGATTTATGTTATTAGAAATAACTAAAGTTAAGTATGGTTCGAATTAAATTTTTTGTTAGAGTTTTTTTTAGCGAGTTAGTTTTCTACGGGATGGCGTCGCTAACCTCATACTTAACGCTCCTCCTTTATCTGGGTTTTGGACCAGCAGTAGCGCTAGAGGGTCTTCAACCGGAGTCCTCGAGGCCGAATGGAGACAGACATGAGAAGAATAAAAAACAATTGGATAGAACTAGAAAGAATGGCCCAGGACAGAATGGGTTGGAGAATGCTAATCGGTGGCCTATGTTCCATTAGGAGTAACAGGCGTAAGTAAGTAAGTAAGTAAAGTTAATTATGAGATGTACTTTGTAATATGCTTCGCAAATACACACTCATGCTACTGGCCGGATAGAAATGTGTGTGTATTTGGATTGTTTTCTGCATCTTAATGATAATTTGGTAGCAGAGACCTATCTAGTTTTAATAAAAGCTAAAGTAAAACATGTTAATCAAGAGAATCTTTGATATAGTAACGTAACCTAATTTAGTTACTAACATATTGAATGGACAATACATTTATCCATACAACCTAGCTCTAAGCTTACACACCTCAGTTTCTCTGAGATAAAGTTATTTGTTCACTCTAAATCAAAAAAAAAAAAAAAATGATAAGAACACATGGTGATCATTTTATATTGTGATGTCAACCGATCTAGAATCGATTCATAGGATCACAATAATCATGCCTAATTCAATGAAGTCCTAAAGATCATTGGATCGTAACATTTTCTTAACTGTACTCATGATAATAATAATAATAATAAGATGTACCTTCAAATTATACATGATTCTTTCCTAATGTTATAGATAATCATTATTACTTCCTTTATTTCTGTCTATTTTATAAATACCAGCTCAAAAAACAAAACTCCATCCAAATCATCCACCTAAGCTACAAATCTTCTCCACTACCTTAGTTACTATTTTTTTTATTATTACTAAGTTTCCTTTCAAAGATGAAGCATATCTTGTTGCTGTGTTACACCAAACATCATATATGTATGTGTGTGTGGATGGGTGAGTGTGTGTGTGTGGGTGGGTGGGTGGTTGATTAAGAGAGAGAGTTTATGCATTAGATAATGACTATTATTAAAAGATAAAATTTCCTCATAACAACGGATATCCTTTATAATGAACAAAACAAAAACATATTTTACAAACGGTGTAATAGTTTTCCACTATAGTAACAAGAAGAAAGTTAATAGAATGAATCAATTCAATACAATTATTATTACTATAATATTTATAATATTACAACTGATAGAATTAACCTTAAATGTATTAAACCATTTATGATTGTAGTAAGGATAGGGAGAGTGAGCACTACCTCTTCAATTGATTTCATATGACCACGTGGATACAACCACCGTCAAGGAAGTCCTACTCACTACCTTCTCATGGTATTGCTTTTGTTTACGAAATTGAGGGGACAAAAAGTGAATGTTCGACGCTTTAACCGGTTTAGTCAACACGGAGATTTCAGGTAGGGGAGTTGCAAAACCCTAATTCCAAACCAATAGTGTACATGGTTTCCAGGATCCTTAGGAAAAAGATGGCGTATGAACCAATCGAACGCTCAAACACTTAACCTTTAGAACACTGATTTGACATCTCATGGTATTAATATCCACTTTCAACTAATCCACGAAATTGCACCATCGTCCACCATTTGTCTTCAGTGAGTTACTATTTCACAACAGGCATGAATGAATTCCATTAGTCATTGTTTCTCACTAGAATTCTAGGAAATACCAATTTATTAATTAATATAAAATTACAGGATGTCTTCATAAAATATGCAAACCATATATTAAATACTTCTTCTGTATGTCATCTATCAATTTGTCTCTTACAAACTTCATTGTTATTACAATTATTCCATGTTTATATTTCTGTTCTCTTCAATACAATCTTCTCAACCTTCTACTACTAAGTATTCTACTTTTGATTATTATTACATAGTACTTATATCTATTGACAGACATAAGTAGCACACACCCAAATGACCTGATACAGCCGAGAGTGGAAAGAGTCAGCTCTCCATCTCCAATTACTTTCACATGACCACGTGGATACAACCACCGTCAAGGAAGTACTACTCACTACCATCTCATGGAATTACTTTAGTTTACGAAATTGAGGGAACGAAAAGTGAATGTCCGACGCTTTAACCGGGTTAGTCAACACGGAGAGTTCATGTAGGGGAGTTGAGAAACCCTGATTCCAAACCAATAATGCACATGGGCTCTAGGATCCTTAAGGAAAACATCATGTATGAACCAATCGTTGGTGACCGGCTACCATGTAATTGAATCTCCTTACGATGCTTCACTGACTCATAGATTAGACCTTTAGTTCATAGGCTCTAGATGTGCTCCCCTCCCCATAAGAAAACCACTTTCTTCAGTTTGGATACCCGAGTAGTATCATATCCTACACACAAATCAAGTGATTTGTATGGTACATATCAATTTGGTGCCTTCTTGTACTAATGTTTATGTGTTTAAATCAATTAATCAATTAATCAATCAATCAATAAAAGATACACATATTGATTTCTATCCACTTACTTGTGTTGCTTCCGGTTGAAATGCATTAAATACATCATATGGTAAACATGATAATACATCTACTATAAACCATCCTTTTAAATAATTAATACGTATAATAGTAGCATCAGATATTACTTCACCATTTGGTCCAACAAATGTTGTATGAAAATTTAATACAATATCTATAAAAAATATCACATCAACAATACTATCCACAACTAATAAACTAACATCATCCATTGTTTTACTTTTAAATGCTGCATTAAATGGTACCATTACTGCTGTATAACCAGTTAAAAATAATATTAACCAATCCCATGTTGTTTTAAATGCAACATAATGTAATATAATATGAGGTGGGGTTTTTGGTGCTTCTTGTTTATATTGTGGTACTAAATCCAACCATGATGAAGTGGACTATATTGGGAAGGGGGGGCAGGACGAAGGGGGGAGAATATTTAAAAAGAAAACAAAAAAGAGAGAGAGATAGAGAGGGGAGAATGTTTAATCAATAAAATTTATTGACATGTAAAATTATTACATAATTTAAAATGAATAATTTATGGGAAAGATATGTTTATATAAAGTTTATATAGATTATTATATCACTCCGCTTGGAACCCACCCTCTGAGGTTACTGCCGGTCACAAGTTTGGATAAACGAGGAGGGTTGGGCATGAAGTTAGTGACTCCATCCCGTAGATAACTAAACAGTGCTCTAAGAGTTAGAAGAGTTATGATACCTCATGGTGAGAAACGAATTCCTTCGGAAGTTACGACACTGATACCCCTTTAAACAACCAGAGCAATCATTAATTTATATAAATGGAATACTCGTATAATATGGGAAACCGAGAGAGTCTTCCAAATTGTTGTAGATGATTAAATAAACTGATAGTGAAGTAATTGTGTAATATCACTAATAGGACTAATTGAAGTTAAATATGTAATCAAGTAAAAATTAAATTTGTTGTTTAAAGATTAACTGCTCAAACTGAAATTGAATTATTCCATGTTTATTCCTTTGTGCAGTTATTAATGAGCGCTGTTGATGAGTAACATCCTAATATGAATAAGTTATCGTGTCAGTTACTATGTTAAGTCCATATAGCATATTCTAACTTCTGGACAGTCATGTTTTGTCCTTGTTAATTATTCACTGATTAGTCTTGTCTATTATGATGTAAACGTATATGTGTACCATTCTTATCCCATTCAACAGAAGTCTGTAACTCTAAATATTGATTAACGCTTGATTAAATCGAGTTGGCTGACACAACTTCTCCATCGTGCATCATTTCGCTCTACTCTCTTCTCTTCACTTTGTTCCTGTGATTGACTGTCCAAATCAATAAGTAAACAAAATATATGTATTCAGAATTTATTCTTGTATTTGACTTATTTAATTCCATTATTCATCAACCTGAGTTAAGTCGATAATTTCTATACAAGGATTGACAACATGTATATCTCGATAGCAATCATTCAATAAAGATTATTTGTACGATCTAACTGGAGTCAGATAAAGGGCCACTAATTAACTATCCATTACTTCTTGTTTTTCAATAGCTAATATATCACAAACAAGATAATGAAATACATGGAATGAATCCCACTACAACCCACTATTCAATAAGTTTAACTGTGTAATAGAATTTAAGGTACACTTACAATTAATTGACCACTAAGTGGTGATCATTGTCAAGTACGTCAGCTCTTTCTGAGTGCAGATCGAATCTTATCGACCAAGTTACAATGTGGCCACCTATCTAGGTGACTCAACATTGAGTGCACTATATTGAGATAAAATGATTGTTGGAGGTAGTTAACAGGAAACACTGAATCTAGATTATGTACTACATGACAATCGTTAGCAAGATGTACCTGTAATCTTGAGAGAATTGATGCCCTCTGACGGATTCAATCCCGTGTCACCCAGCTTCACAGCTGGAGATGTTACCACTGGGCTATTCGTGCCACGACTGATCTCCTGTATGACTTAGATGTATTCACAATTGATTGATTACTTGGTCGCCAGGATAGTCAACAGGAAACACTGGATCTAGATTATGTACTACATGGCACTCGTTAGCAAGATGTACTTATAATTTTGAGGGAACCGATAATCCCTGATAGATTTGATCGTGAGTATCAAGTAGCACGAAATCTAGGTTCAGGGTTTCCTGTTAACTACCTTCAACCACTAACTTTTAAGTACATCATAGTTGGTTGCTAGTTAACGTGTTAATAACACCCACCCCTAAAATATCACACTTTTAAACAAATGCACTCCGGATAATGAATGGATGAAAGTTTACTTTATTGAATCATATATGTGACTGACAAGTATAAACATTTTTGTTTAAGGATATACACAGACAAATGTATTTGACTTATACCATGAAATATACACATGATTACCATATTCTGATACACTTAATGACAATGTTGTTCAAAAATTATGTCCATAATTTATCCCAATAAAGAACAGTATTGAATGTACTAATCCCTATTTTGATAGAGTTCTGTTCTCTTAGCTAGATGGTTTGGTCATGGAGGTTTCATCGTACTTCTGAATCGATATTATCATCAGTATAAAACTTCAGGTAGAATTGAAGTGTTCAAATTCCTTCACATATAACTCACAGTTTATCCTGTAAACCTTGATATTGATTAGTTCTTGTTGACATTAAATCGGACAGCTGTGAACCATATATGGATTATGTGCTAATAATGATGTTAGTTCAGAAGAACAATAAAACCTCCACAACCAAAGCATCCAACTTAGAGAACAAAATTTTCATGAAAATCATTCATCTGAACTACAAATCTTCTCGACTGCCACCACCCCCACCATCACCACCACCACCACCACTAATCACTTTATTTTTTATAGTTAAACCAATTAGCTGAACATTTTACTTTGTTTGTTTTTTTCTAATTACAATACAATGATTCAATGCCCAATTCACTGGAAAAGTTCAATATCACTCCCTCCCCCCTTCATCCGCCATTTTGATGAAATAAACTCATTGAAGGACACAATTCACCTGGTAAATGATAATGTAATTAAAAAATAATTACCTATTCTTTCCTATAAATGGTTCCTCGTGTTTATTATATTTAATAAGTAAACATGAAAGTGTTAAGAGAGTAGAGAGTATTTGCATGTGATGAGAAAAAAAAAAAGAAGTGATAGTTAAATACATATGAACCCTCATTAGGTTACCATGAGAACATGAGTTAGTATTTATTTAAAGTTCTATTTATAACCGGAAGTTCCTTAAATGACATTATGTCTATTAATATTGTATCATTATGTACTTTTATATTATGCTTACTTAAGTATTATTGACACATATATTGAAAGTAATAACATGTTTTCCTAAATTGTATAACAATTATAACTTTATCGAAAAGGGGTTTTTTATACAGATTATAGTAATTTAATAGTTGAATCCATGATTCGATTAAAGTTAAACAGCTATGGAAAACCTGAAAGTACTGAATGGCTGTTTCGTCTTAGTATAGGACTCTTCAGCATTGATCTAGAGGTTACATATTCGTATGTGAGACCGAAAGTCATGGGTTTGAATCTTGAGAGTAGGATTATAGATTTGAATCGTTAAAGAGTCTCATAATAGGATGGAATGATCATGTAGTACTTTCAAGTTTTCCATGGTGGTCTAACTTTAATCGAGGCAATACACACAGTGTGCACATATGCCAATAATAGACTAATCAATTGAAGTTCTAAACATCAATGGGAAGATTCAATTAAACAACAATATCAAGTGAATTTAAACTTTAAACCCATTGCACAACGAAGTAGCTATGAGGACTCAATAGCTGAATAACTAATGCGATGTTGTTTGAAGCTGGGTTCGAGTTCCAGAATGAATACCAACTCTAAGCTACAGGTACATCCATCTGACGAGTCTCAAACAGGACGAAACGCGCGTCCTGAATTCCACAGTTGTATGAATTAGATTTTCATCACATTTGTAGATTAGCTAGAGGAATTCGTGTCGAGAATTCTATATTGTACCAAAGATCGAATATTGAATAAAGCTTATTATTGATTGATTGATTGATTGATTTATTCATTCATTGATTGATCACTTACCATTACCGCTTTTTCTGGATCGGATTTTGATGAATCATGAAATCGTGAACTTGAACTTGTGTTTAAATTTTGAAAATTTGATAAACTTGGTGAATTATATTGTTCCATTTGATTTGATACTTCTGTATCATCATTAATTGCACCACTAGTACTATCAGCACCACCACCACCACCGCCACCACTGCACACGGTTAATCGATTACTACGATATACAGTTAATGCAGAATTTTGTGCTGATGTTTGTGATGCTGATAATTGTTGTAGAACTGAACGATTTCGTGTAACTGAACGTGCTAATCGAGCAAATTTACTTAAACCTAAGTGAAATAAAGAAAAAAAGATTTTGAAAAAAAATACTTATTTGGAAATGATTAAAAGTTATGCTTTTAGAAAGAAAAGTGTTGTTGATTATATCATTTACTGGAGCTGTACAGATCTAAGAATGCGCTCAGAAGAGGTTTATTCAATCTTTTAATGTACTAGTTGAATTCATGAGTCCATTAGAGCTAGATCACCATGGATAACCTGTAAGCAATGGATGGCCATATCGTCCTAGTTTGGGATTCCTCAACAGTGGGCATCCACGATCTCGAGAGCGATCGCATAACCTCTAGACCACTGAGTCCGCATCCAGCGGTGTTATTGTCTAACTACAATCTATCCATGATATTGCACCACCGTCCACCATTGTATTTCCTGAAGTTCTAGTGAGAGACTGTGTCTAGGGGAGTTCAACCGTGTCTGCTGTGAGATATTAACTCACTGAAGATAATGGTGGACGGTGGTGCAATTTCGTCGATTGGTTGAAGTTATACATTAACACTGGTGGATGACAGACCACGGATCTAGAAGCTGAGCGTTCTCGCGCAAAGCTGAATATCCTGGGTTCGAGTCATGTTTACGGGATAGTGTATGCGTACTACTGAGTAGAACTGTTAGATTTATACTCGTAATGGATTAATCTCATTTATAGTGCAATTAAAGGTTAGGGAGTACCAAATAAATACATTAAATTTATGTAGGCTCTCTACTCGAACACAATTGACCGATTGAGAAACTATGATGAACTATCATCAGAAATGATTACCTCAAGTAGTGTTCGTTAGGGCTGTTCACTCTCGTACGAGTTTCTAAGTTGTTGCTAGCTGACTGATTAAAGGTTAGAGAGAACTGAAAAGTTGTATTAACTTAGAATATTACACACTGTACACTAATCATCCTTGTTTCTTAATGGTATCTTAACGAGATTCGACTCATTATTAATACCATATACACACTAAATTAGCCTCCACTAAGCCTTATCAACAAAATTTTACGGGTTTGAAGTATTCACTAATGACAGTATCTAAGTTTCAGATGAATGTCTGGAACTTTTATTGGGGATGTGACTGAATTGTAAATCAAAATTTATCGATAATTTGACTGCTAGACTGAATAATGATCCCGTTAATTGATTGAAAAGTAAACGAGTTGATTAGAAATCGACGGCTATTTGAAATAACTGTGCTGGAGATGAGACACAAAATTACTTGATTCATTCTCATGTAGTCTTGGTTAACAGTTGCTAGGAAGTAATAAACTAGGCTTTATAATAACGGGTCAGTCTCCCTTATTCACAGTGACTTTTAAACTAACAGCCTGTTTTTATTCATTTGTTTGTTTAAATATCACTGATGGATACCAAGTCAGTGGTGTGTAGGTTAAGCGTTCGTGAGAGACCGATAGGTCCTGGGTTCGAATCTCTCAAGGCGGGATCGTGGATGCGCACTACTGAGGAGTCCTGTACTAGGACGAGACGGCCGTCAATTACTTTCAGTATTTTCATGATGGTACAGCTTCAATCGACTCATGAATTTATTTATTAAATTACTATAATATCTATAAAATCCCTCTATAATTAAAAATTATTTTGATTGAGATCATGAACCGATTGATTAAGGTTAAGCGTTCGTGCGCGAGATTGAATGCCCTAGGTTCGAACCCCGCGAGCGGGATCGTGGATGCACACTTCTGAGGAGTCCCGCAATAGGGCGAAACAGACGTCCAGTATTTCGAGGTTTTCAATGGTGGTCTGACACCAATCGGTTCATGACCTCAATCAAAACTTAACAATCTCCATAACCCCTATATAGATAAAGATTATTTATTTCAATATAGGCCAACTATCGCTCAGTACATGATATGATTCATTAATAAACGACCTATATCAGTTTTTATTGTTATTTGGGAAAATTTGCATTACAGACTAATATAAAGCAAGGAAATGTTAAGTACCGGATGAATAGATGTTTCATTCTTGTTCTGTAATCACTATTGAACAATTCACATGCACTAATCTACAAATAACAATGTAATGAACTTTTAGAGCTCGATTAAATAGCGAACTTAAGTAAATCTGTTTAATTATTAACTCGTCGTATGTTAGTCAGTCGGCTACAACGTAGGACCATGCACGTATATGCATCGGTCCAAGTTGCCATATCGCATTAGCACAACAAGATGAACACCGGATTCATAAAAGTAGTTAATTCAATGGTGGCAATATATAAGAGAAAGATTGCATATAAGGAGATAGTACAGGAAGAAACAATAAGTTCGTATAAAGAAAGATATAAAGCGATTTTAATCTCTTAGTTTAAAGGAAGACAGAGAGTGTATACACCTACGCCATTGTGATCGATTCTGAGCCATGTCACCAAGAGTCTCCAACCATTGATTACGATAGTCACGCGGACCCCAACCAGGTAGTCTACATCTACCAACATGGCTCAGACCAGAAGTTAGTGATTCTGTAGACTGATGCCACGTTTTGGTTTGGCCGCTCCTTACCTTCCTTCAACCACCCCTAACACGAGTTAGCATTGCGCATCGTCGTAATCAGTGTTCAGGAATACGTAAGAACACGTGACCCAACCATCTCAGTAGATTACGATTCACAACCTCACCAACTGATTTACAATCATTCCCTAATACCCTACGTCTAACCTCACTATTACTTACCTGGTAATCCTAGTAGATGCGAATAATATTTCTAAGACATCTTCTACTCTTAATGGCCACATTTCGCATCCATAAAGTAAAACACAACGAACTATTGTACAATAGACTCGTCTCTTCATCGATAGAAGGATATCTCACGTTTTCCATAGGTGACATCAGTTGGCAAAAGCCAAACGAGCTTTCTAAATATATATATATATATATATATATATATATATATATATATATATATATATATATAATTACATGAGTTGTCATTCAACCGGATGTATTAATTATCAAGTTATTCATTATTTGTTATTATTTCGTCCCTTCTTCTTCTTCTTCTCCTCCTCTTGGAATTATTTTCATAAAGGTCATAGAAATATATATCCATTTTCCCTGCCAATTCTCAATTGATTTACCTTTTAAAGTTCACTTTCATCAACTTTGAACTGGATCATGATGTTTTTTTTAATTTTTTTTTTCTTTCAGTAAAATCAAGAGAAGAGGGGGCGTGAAAGGGGGAGAGGGTGACGATTTTTAAATGAAACTATTAATTGAATTTTTGAAATGAAAAAAAAAATTTTTGTTTTGTCATTTACTAAATTGAAATAGTGTAGGTTAAGAGAAAAATTTTGTTTGTTTTTTTCTTCTGTTTTTTTTCACACGATTTATTCATCAATGTTGCTATGAGATTGTTTCATTTGGATATGAATGAAGTGAGGTTAGATATTTATTGAATAAATTAAGGAGTACTGGATGGTTGGCTATACTGTTCTAGTATAAGACTCTTTAAGAGGATATACCTACGTTTACATGTAGAGGTGTGTGTGTGTGTCTGTGTGTGCATGTGTATTATCACTTATAAGTAATTCATGAAGTTTACATTTGTTAATACTTACTAACTCATGCCTGTTACTTAACAACGTGGAAGAATATAGGCCATCCACTAGTATTCTGTCCTGGAAACTTCTTTCCAATTGTTCCCAGTTGCTATTCAACTTTTGCAATATCTACTTCTGATTCTTAATACAGGATCCCGAGTTACTGATTGCCTAGTGAGGCAGTTTAATGATTTCCGTAATGTATGTTCTAAGCACAACCTACGTTTTTTTGCTAATTTACTCTTCAACTAAGGAAATTAGTAAATGATCTAGTGTTTCCTGTTGACCACCTCAAACTAACATCTTATCGTAACATTACTTACTTACTTACGCCTGTTACTCCTAATGGAGCATAAGCCGCCGACCAGCACACTCCAACCCAATCTGTCCTCGACCTTCTTTTCTAGTTATATCTAACTGTTATTCATTTCCTCATGTCTGTCTCCATTTCCCAACGTAATGTGTTCTTGGGTCTTCCCCTCCTCCTTCGACACTGAGGATTCCATATGAGGGCTTGTCTTGTGACGCAGTTCGGTGCTTTCCTCAATATGTATGCTATGCACTTCCAGTACTTCTTCCTGATTTCTTCCTTCATTGGGATCTGATTTGTTCTCTCCCACAGTAGGTTGTTACTGATAGTGTCTGACCAACGGATTCGAAGTATTTTGCGTAGACAACTCTTAATAAACACTTGTATCTTCTGGATGATCGCTTTCGTACTTATTCAAGTTTCCGCCCCATACAGTAGAACTCTCTTCACATTTGCATTGAAAATTCTGACCTTGATGTTGGTTGCCAATTGTTTTGAGTTCCAGATGTTCTTCAGTTGTATATATGCTGCTCTTGCTTTGCCAATCCGCGTCTTCACATCTGCATCAGATCCACCACCGTGTTCATCAATGATGCTGCCCAAATAAGTAGAGGTATTTACATCTTCCAAATCTTCTCCATTAATTGTGATTGGATTGATGCATGCTGTGTTGTACCGGAGAATCTTGCTTTTCCATTTGTGTATATTGAGACCTACTGCTGCTGAGGCTGCAGCTACACTGATTGTCTTCTCCTGCATTTGTTGTTGTGTGTGCGATAGAGGAGCCTAATCATCTGCGAAGTTTAGATCGTTCAGCTGCATCTTAGATGTCCATTGTATCCCTTATCTTAACATAGTGCATGCAATATCAAGTCACCTAGATAGGTGGCCACATTGTAACTTGCTCGTTAGCATTTGATCTGTAATAAGAAAGACCTGACACACATAACATTAATCACCACCCTATGATCCATCAATTGGGTAGCTAGTTACTTTCTATACACAATGGTGTTTGTTTGATTTTCTACTTGAATGCATAGACTAATGATTATATGAAATGGTAGATAATATTAGTCTATCACTAATTACATTTAATTACTACATGGTTTGATGTGGTAATATTTGTTACTATGATATTACATAATCATAATCCCACTATGATAATTCAGTCTAAACATAATTTAATCATACTGTGATAATCATTGTGAAATAATATGAAATCGCCATTTCATAATCTAAGGAGGACTGACAAAATATTTTAAAGTGTCGTGAATATAATTTCGTAAGATTTTGTATAATATTTGGGCAGCATCATCGATGAACACGGTGGTGGATCTGATGCAGATGTGAAGACGCAGATCGGCAAAGTAAGAGCAGCATATTTACAACTGAAGAACATCTGGAACTCAAAACAATTGGCAACCAACATCAAGGTCAGAATTTTCAATACAAATGTCGAGACAGTTCTACTGTATGGGGCGGAAACTTGAATAAGTAATAAAGCGATCATCCAGAAGATACAAGTGTTTATTAAGAGTTGTCTACGCAAAATACTTAGGATCTGTCAGCCAGAAACTATCAGCAACAACCTACTTTGGGAGAGAACAAATCAGATCCCAATGGAGGAAGAAATCAGGAAGAAGTACTGGAAGTGTATAGCATATATATTGAGGAAAGCACCGAACTGCGTCACAAGACAAGCCCTCATATGGAATCCTCAATGTCGAAGGAGGAGAGGAAAACCCAAGAACACATTACGTTGGGAAATGGAGACAGACATGAAGAAATGAATAACAGTTGGATATAACTAGTAAAGAAGGTCGAGGACAGATTGGGTTGGAGTGTGCTGGTCGGCGGCCTATGCTCCATTAGAAGTAATAGGCGAATGTAAGGTTTTGTATAGCGTTGCGCTACTCGGAATCCTCAGAATAAGATAACGTCAGTTGATGACGGTATATCCAGCTGATGAGTTTTAAATAAGACGAAACATATGTCATGGATTCCATCGCTAGCCACTATCATTTATCTTTGCTTATAATGCTTGTGAATTAAGACAATATCGAGGCAATCCTCACAGTATACACATATACCAATAAGGGACTGATCAATTGCTGTCCTAAACATCAATAGGAAAATTCAAGTAAATAGTACTAAGTGAATTTGGCTTCGAATAGTTACACAATTGTTATAGAAGAAATGACAAAGTACTTGAAGTAAATATAACTTCTTTAGTGAGTTCACTCTCTTAACTACAATTATAAGATCGCACTATACAAATGCTTGTTAATTTAGATGAAATCTGTAAGAGGAATGCACTGGCAAGCTGTAATAATTCATTGTTTTAGGGTAATATAAAATTGTGTTTCTTTAAAGTATTGCTTCTATATGTAATGAATTTACCAAACGAATCATAATGATGTAAAGAATAGGGTACATTTCTAAGGAGGACAGACTTGTGATAGTTTCAGTTATTGATAAGCCTTGTTAATTTGAACGTTTTATTTGGTTCCTTAACTATTATGGTAACCTACAAGCTAGAACTATACAGCGACTTGAACACAAGAGAGAAGATGCTGGAAACTTTTCAGCTCCTTTAGGACCTCTGGAGGCTCCATTGTAGTTCTCGGAAGCCAACTTAACAGTTATATATCACAAGGATGTTTTCTCATCTTTAACTATGAATTTCAGTTCTAAGTAACAGAGGGATTAGGTTCGAAGAAACTTAAATGAAGTAAGTCAATCTATACTATGAGTTCAGTTGTGTTGTGAGATGTAATCATCCTATTTGAGATTCATCAAGTGATCAAAGGCTATCACATATGGAAACTGTAGTAATTAGTATAAATTAATTCATTTCTATGTTCTCCTAAATCTTAAGTTTAGCGAATGAATTTGAAGTAAATCCAACATTTCTCCTGACGATCTAGACTGAGATTTTACAAATACATTCTTCCTCTTTAATGTTTCACATTAACTCGGTACTTAAATACTGTGAAACAACTATTTGATCATATTTCTTAGATTTGGACCTATCTTAGGTAATCCTTTCCAGTTCTTTCCAGTTATTGTTATTCATCATTTTCATATCTGATTCTGTTTCCCAACTTAATGTATTGTTTGGCCTTCCTATTCTCCGTCTCCATTCAGGATTCCAAGTTAGAGATTACCTCGTGATGCAGTTTGATGATTTCCTTAATGTATGTCCTATCCACTTCCATCGTCTTTTTCCGATTTCCTCTTCAACTGGAATCTGGTTTGTTCCCTCCCACAAAAAGCTGTTTCTGATGATATCCGGCCAATGAACGTTGGGTATCTCGTGTAAACAACTATTTATAAATCCTTTTATCTTCTTCATGGTGGTTGTTGTAGTTCTCCAAGTTTCAGCTCCGTTAATGTGAAACAGGGGAAATCGAACTGCATAAGAAGGTTTTGTAAAGTCAAATAAGAGTCATATATACAATTACATCTATTACATATTTCAGTAAATAAATGGTGATTCCAGCTTTATCTATTAAATAGGAGTTTAATTTTCCCAAAAAACAAACAAATTGAAGTTATGGCATTTTACCTTTAACAGTATCTTCATCATCAAATGGTGTTTTCAACGCTGTGATATCTCTGAAGGCCAATAGAAATAGTACTACTTCTTCACATTCATTACGAACTGGTGCAACACATACAAGTAACCAAAATGGTAAACCTAAAATGTAGAAATAAAGAGAAATTGGTTTAATTCAGAAAAGTATTTTCATGACAATATAATTATTGTGAATTTTATACCGATAATAGGCAGTATCATTGAGGAACAGAGTGGATCTGATGCAGATGTGAAGGCGTAGATCGGCAACACAAGAGCAACATATCTACAATTGAAGAATATCTGGAACTCAAAACAACTGTCTGTCATAATTTCAATGATTAAGATCATGAGTCAATTGAAGCTAGACCACCATGGAAAACCTGAAAGCACTGGACGGCCGTTTCGTCTTATTATAGGACTCCTCAGCAGTGCGCATCGACGACCTCACCCCTGCGAGATTCGAACCCAGGACCTACTGGTTTTGCGTGCGAACACTTAACCACTAGACCCTTGTCTGTCAAACAACACCAAAGTCAGAATTTTCAATACAAATGATATGACAGTTCTAATGTGCATGGGGCGAAAACTTGGAGAACTACGGAAGTCATCATCCAAAACATACAAATGTTTATTAACAGTTGTCTACACAAAATACTTCAGATGCATTGATCAGACATTATCAAGAACAACATACTGTGTGAAAGAACAAACCAGATTCCAGAAGAAGAACAGGTCAGTAAGAAGTGCTGGAAGTGGATAGGACACACATTGAGGAAACCACTTAACTGCACCATTCATCATTAACAGACGTACTCTCAGGTATTTAGATAAAAACTTATAATCAGGAATGTAGTCTTCAAGACTCAATGTAGTATCAGAAAAGACTTTTCATGAACACTGTATTTAAGGAGTGTACTTGTATGAAGACTATGGTAAAGAGAAAATTCTTTTCTACTATTCTCTGTGTATTCTTTTGTAGCTTGAGGAAGGAAACCCTGTTGTAACCAGGCGAGAATAACGAATGGTGATAACTGTTGAGATCGATTTCTGGACTAACATGATACACATATTCTTATTGTATAAACTATCTTTATATTCATGTTCCTCTTATTATGAGCTTCCATTTGATCTATAGACTATTATGATACGATTTCTCGTTCGTGAGGTATGCCCATTCTACTACATAAATGGCTCGTTGTAGCATGAAGTTATCAGACAGTCTTCAACCAAGGATTGAACTCAAGATCATCAGCTTTCGTAAAGTGTAGGTGAGGTAAACCATTCACTTTTCATGTTCAATAAAAGTATGATATCTAACATTTACGATGATCTTCCTGTTTATTTCAGGGGTTAGTGTTCCATAAATAGGTGTAAATTTTAATGGGAACTTTGAGATAGAATTCTCATTGAAAATCATACTCGTAATAAATGACATTCAATCATTAAATGAACGACAAAATACTACATATTGTACACAAATGTTAACATTTAAGAAACAGACCCATCAAAGATTCACAAGCCATGTATTCTATCTAATAGCGAGTACTTAACCTTTAAACTACTGAATTACTTATCCAACTGAACTAATATTAACAAAAAAAGTCAAAGAATTATCGAAACACACCATATATATATATATGTAAGTCGGATCTATAACGCGTCGATGAGAGCAGTTTTGCTCTATGCTTGTGAAATATGACCTCTCCGAGTTGACGATGTTAGAAGACTCTCTGTATTCAATCATTGCTGTTTCCGAAGGATTGCTGACATCCAGTGTCAACATCATGTTAGTAATACAAACGTTCAGTATCGTGTTCTTGGGCACAGATACGACAATTCAATCGGTACCACTATCTTGAAACACCGACTTTGGTGGCTTGGACATGTCGTATAAATTCCACGTCGTGAATTATTTACCGACGCTGGAACTGATTGGTAAAAGCGGAGAGGTGTTCAGTGTACGACATGGTGTCGTGGTATGAAAGAAAGTTTTACAGAACTGACTTATGTCGGTCCTTCACGACTCCCTGATTAGGGTCATAGAGATGGTTTAACACAGTGGCTAGAATGGCTTAGAATAGATGCCAGTGGCAATCCTGCAATATATATATATCTTAGTAGTATAGATCTATATCATTTCAATAGTATATTAAATACTTACGATTTTTTTTATAAAATAACATTTCAATTTGATCCGGTGTTTGAGTATCTAATGCTTTTAATAAACGTTCACGCATATCTTTTGTTGTTTGTTCACCATAGAAAAATGCACAACTTCCACTTTTTTGCATAATTTCAACACGACTATAACCAGTTAATCGTGAGAAACCTTCATTACAATAAACAATTGGATAATCAACAATACGTGCATTTGCCAATACAAAACTATAAACTGTAGAAAAGAGATAAACAAACAAACAAACAAACAAGAAGAAAGATTACGTAATGGTAATGATAGTAACTTGAAAGCTAATACTCAACCAAAAGACATAAAGCTAAATAACAGTTTAAAGTAGAGTATTATTAAAGAAAGTTCTGACCAACACTAAGGTTAGAATTTTCAATACAAATGTTATGACACATAAATTTCAATCCGTTGATCAGATACTATCAGCAACAACCTACTATGGGAGAGAACAAATCAGATTCCATTGGAGAAAGAAATCAGGAAGAAGTACTGAAAGTGGCATAGGATACACATTGAGGAAAGCATCGAACTGCGTCACAAAGTAACGCCTCACATAGAATCCTCAAGGCTATAGGAGGAGAGGAAGACCAAAGAACAAATTAAGACGAGAAATGTTAGCAGACATGTGAAGAATAAACAAAAATTGGATAGAACTAGAAAAAAAGACCCAGAACATGTTGAGTTGGAGAATACTGGTCGACGGCCTATCTTTCATTGGGGGTAACAGGCGTAAGCAAGTAAATAAATAAGTAAGTAAGTAAGTGAACAATAGTTGTCAATCTTATAGGCAGATAGTTGTTTTTGTTATTCCATGTTCACAGGAGACCTTTACTACAACGTTAAAATTGTTTTGGAATGATAGATGTCATATCTTTTCTACTCGAGTCATATTAAAGTGGTGCACACGGTTACTCTTTAAGGCTATAGTATGTTGAGAGTTTGTACCATATGTTTCATTTATGGAAGAGAACTGAAGTTCTTAAAATGATAATAATATGAGTTAAGTAGTTCAATAGGACTATGAGATCATTCTAAGCCATAGGATACAGCTTTTAAAGTTAGTATCTTCTTTAAAAGGAGGCTATAATATCAAATCTACGGAAAAGGTTCATTCAACGTTATAATTCAGATGATGTTTGTTCTCTGAGCTCGATGTTTTGGTCGTAGAGCTTTCATCGTTCCGCTGAACGACATCATCAACACAAACTTCAATGTTATAGTGGTACGGTATTCCAGTCAAGTAACACGATATGGTTAATCACTGATCATTTAGTGATCAAGACAATACTTAAATAGTGAGCTGTTACTCCATGGTATCTATCTTATATATCAATTATGGTGTCATGAATTACAATCATCATTTAAAATGATAGCTGAGTTAATATCTCGCTGTAAATTTGATTGACCAAACTAATTCCACCTTTCTATTGAAATCATGAACTGATCAATTTAGTACAATCATTGAAAACTCGAAAAGATTGGAGAGCTGTTTTTTTTTGTGGTATAAGACTATTCAGTAGTGCACACTGACGATCCCACATACGATACTCGGACCCAGAATATTTGATATTGCTCACGAACAGTTAAACTCTAGACCACAGAGCTAACATTCAGCGGTGTTAATGTCTAACTTAAACCAATGCATGATATTGTCCGATCATCTTCTATTATGTTCAGTGCATAAATACTACTGTTTAATAATAGAACTACGGAAATTTCCTCTCACTAGTGAAAAATGATGCACTGGGTTATGTCACAACCGCTGTTGTCACCTTGACGAGGTGCTCGGGCTTGCCTATCTTAATGAACCAATCGAGCTATACTAGCTGGGATAATCTTTCTTCAAAGTTCTATCATGCCAAAGAGGTATGTTAAAGACTAAAAGCAGCAAACCCTAGATCCGAGGTGTGATGGGAGTAGAGTGTTTCTTTCAGACAACCAGCATAACAATTATGCTGCCTTCCCACAAAAGAAGGGTAGGATTAGAAAACGTCAACCGTGAAGATACACACCTCACCTTATCCCACGGATATCCGTTTGTGGCGGTAAGATCTCAACAAGTACTGAGCTAACATGAGAATTACAAAACGATCGTGTGTGGTCAACTTCAAGTAGTTGCTCCATGGGCACTGCAGTCACTCTCTCAGACCATTAAGACAACCCCTAAGCCAATTTCCTTTTCAGGTACCTGCAAAAGAACCCTTTCACGATGTGGATAACCGGGAAGTAATAACCGCCCTCATATCTCTAACAGCACTCAAGATCACTGATTGGTTTAATGGAATAATGAAAACAAAATGTTGGGGTAATCCAGAAAAGACAAGAAAGGATCAGGAAAACAATATAGAAGCATTTTATCCAATCAGCGTTCACTTGAAGTTCATCAAGAAATATCAAGAAAGTAAAAAATCACATGTACAGTTTCTGATTGGCTGATTACTATACTGTTACTATGTTTAATAGCATTCCAGAATCTTCGAGAAAACCAAGGACATCTAAAATACTATAAAAACCTTATATTTTCTGTATTAAAACGAATGTTTGGAGTAAAGTGATTCTCACATATTTCACGCCTTTCCTCTCGTGTTCAGGTCGCCGTATAGTTCTATCTTGGGGGGGGGGTTACGAGAATAACTTAGGAACCGAATCTAGTGTTCCATTAGCAAGACTTATCAACAAAAAAAATACTAGAAATTTTTCAATAAAACTGTCATAATAATTGACATATACAATGTCCTTCTCATGAGATAATTACATTAGAGTTCATACAATAGATATATTGTTTAAATATAATTAGATAAGAAGACAGTAAACTTCAGTATGAGTTAGTTCAATAGGTCAATAAACAAATACAACTAGGTTTAATTATCTGTATATGTCAAGTTAGTTAAGACTTTATAAATGATATATCTTAATGAGAATAATGCATAATAATGGTAACAGTTGGGATCGATTTATGGACTAATATGATACATATATATATATATATATATATATATATATATATATATATATATATATATATATATATATATATTTATTTATTGTATAATTGCCACTACAGCCTTTTGTGGGAGAGAACAAACCAGCTTCCAGCTGTGAAGGAAATTAGGAATAAACGATGGAAATGGATAGGACATACATTATGGAAATCCACAAACTGCATCACGAGACAGGCACTAATTTGGAATCATGGAGGGAAGTGGAAAAGAGGAAGGTCAAACAACACATTACGTCGGAAAATGGAAGTAGATATGAAATACATGAATAAGAACTGGAAAGAGCTGGAAAGGATTGCTCAGGACAGGGTTGGATGGAGAATGCTGGTGATCGGCCTTTTTTCCTTTTTGAGGAGTAACAGGCGTAAGTAAGTGAGTAAGTAATAATTTCCACTACAAATGTTAAGACAGTTCTGCTGTGTATGAAGCGGAAACTTGGAGAACTACGGAAGTCATCATCCAAAACATACAAATGTTTATTAACAGTTGTCTACACAAAATACTTCAGATGCATTGATCAGACATTAACAGTAACAACCTACTGTGTGAAAGAACAAACCACATTCCAACAGAAGAACAAGTCAGGAAGAAGTGTTGGAAGTGGATAGGACACACATTGAGGAAAGCGCTCAACTGCGCCACTCTTCATTACCAGACGTACTCTCAGGTATTTAGATAAAAACTTATAATCAGGAATGTAGTCTTCAAGACTCCATGTAGTATCAGAAAAGACTTTTCGTGAACACGGTATTTAAGGAGTGTACTTGTATGAAGACTATGGTAAGGAGAAAATTCTTTTCTACTATTCTCTGTGTATTCTTTTGTAGCTTGAGGAAGGAAACCCTGTTGTATCCAGGCGAGAATAACGAATGTTGATAACTGTTGAGATCGATTTATGGACTAACATGATACATATGTTCTTATTGTATTATTGTTATGTAACTAAACTATCTGCATATTCCTGTTGCTCTTATTATAAGCATCCTTTTGATCTATAGACTATGATGATATGGTTTACCATTCTTGTGTTGTTCCCAGCCTATTAATTACCGTCTCCCACAATCACAGCCACATTTGGCTAGATCTTGTAAAAATGTTGTTTCCTATCTTTTGGTACGATGTGATCTGTTTGGTTTGTATATAAACCCAGTACATGATTCATATCGCGGAGGTTGAGATTGATGTCTTGGAATTAACATGCAGAGCTAAGAAGATATCAAAGACTAATAAGGACTCTATACTGCTTGTATAGGTTTTATGTGTCATTGGCCCAGTCGATAAATCACTGTTTCACTAATTGCCGGTATCATTACGTTATAGATTAATAGGAGTTCAAGACCCACAAATTATAACAATAAACTATTCATACAAATGTATATCTATAGGAAATGTCAACTCAGAGAACTTTACATATAATTGTTATACTTGAAATGGTGGATATGTGGCTCAATTTCGTGAATTAATTGAAGTTAGATATTAACACCGTTGGATGCCAGCCAGCTCAGTGGTCTAGTGGTCAAGTGCTCGTAGGTCTTGGGTTCGAGTCTCGCAGGGGGCGAGGTGGTTGATGCGCACTGCTGAGGAGTCCCACAAAAGGACGAGTCGGCCGTCCAATAGTTCCAAGTTTTCCATGGTGGTCTAGCTTCAACTGATTTATGATCTTAATTATTGAAATTACTACAATCTCCACAAAACCCCTTCTGATACTTGAAAGTGACGAAATTAACAAAATAACAATGTTTCTGAACAATATAGTTCATATTATGTGAAAATTATATTTGAAATGGTCCCAACGATTGTAACTTAAATATTTCTGACATTTAAAACAAAGATGGATAGTGACTAGCAGTAGAATCCAAGAAACACGTCCTATTTGGGATGAAACGCGCATCCTGTATTCCACTGCTAGACACTATCCATCTCTTCTTAGAATGCTTGTGAATTAAGGCAATATCGAGGCAATACGCACAGGATGCCTATATACCAATAATATACTGACCAATTGCAATGCTAAGCAACAATAGGAAGATACAAACAAACAATATCAAGTGATTTTAAACTTCACCCATTACACAAGCAGATGGCTATCAAGAATCAGTAGTTAGGTAGATAACTCGATAGCGTTCAAAATCAACATTATTGGGTTCGATTCCCAGAGTGAGTATCAACTCTGAGATTTAGGTAAATCCAACTGACGAGTCCCAA